CTGTGATGTCACACAGCTCTCTGTGATGTCACACTGAAATCTCTGTGACAGCACTTTTTTGGAATGTCACACTTACATCTTTGTGATGTCACCAATAAACTTCTGTGATGTCACAGAACTTCCAGTGATGTCACAGAGATATCTCTTTGACATCACACTGACATCTCTGTGATGTCACCTTGACCTTGTGAGGTCACACAGCTGTCTATAATGTCACTCGGACATCTCTGCGATGTCAAACATCCTCCTCTGATGTCACAATGACATCTCTATGATGTCACACTGACACCTCTGTGACATCACACTTAGATGGCTGTGATGTCGCACAGACCCTCTGAAGTCAGAAATCTTTTTGTGATGTCACAAAGACATCTCTGTGATGTTACTCTGACACCTCTGTGACGTCACAGTGACCCTTCGAGGTCACACATCTTTTTCTGATGTCACAGTGACAACTCTGTGAAGTCACACCGCTCTCTGTGATGGCACACTTACATCACTGTGATGTCACACAGTTCTCTTTGATGTCACACTGACTCCTCTGTGATTGCACAGATCCTCCTTTGATGTCAAAATGACATCTCTCTGATGCCACACTGATAGATCTGTGACATCACACAGCTCACAGTGATATCACATGGACATCTCTGTGATGTCTCACAGCTCTTCGTGATGTCGCACTGACATTTCTGTGAGGTCACAGGTCTTTTACTGATGTGACACAGACATCTCTGTGATGTCACCGAACTTCCTGTGATATCACAGTGACAACTCTGTGACGTCACACAGCTCTCTGTGATCCCTTTGACATCACAGAGGGCTGTGTGACCTCACAAGGTCAATGTGACATCACAGAGATGTCAGTGTGACGTCAAAGAGATATCTATGTGACATCACAGGAGGTCGTATGACATCACAGAGGTGTCTGTGTGACTTCACAGAGAGCTGTTTGATGTCACAGAGATGTCACTGTGACATCATAAAAAGTTACGTGACCTCACAGTGTCGCTATGACATCACCCATGTGTTAGAGTGATGTGGAGAGTTTTGTGAATGAATTGCTAAGTGAGAAATGACATGACTACATGCAGTTAGTGAAGCAGTAGCTGAAAATTGCGTAGTACAGCAATAGCAGATGTAGCAATAATATCTTATGTCCTTGGGAAGCTGGTTCCCAACAGTGGAATGGTCAGCAAAAAGATAAATGTAAGGGAAAACAAAGCAAGCTTAGAAAGCTCCAAAGGTGGGGTTGACCTCTTTTTAATACACCAGTGATGAGCCTAAGTTTTGCAATATGCATGAGCTTCATTATAATGGGTATAACTGTACATGCGTGCTTGGAATAAACTGAGACTTGTTGACATTATAGAATAAACTTGTCTCCCGTCATTTTTCCACAAAAATGGTGACCCAAACGACGTGATAGGCACCACAGTGGAGTGACGAAAAAGGGTTCGGGTCCTGATGCAGCCAGGATGGCAAAAGTGCTGAATTGAAATAGAGTGCACCGTGCCCCAGGTGACTGCACAGGCAAGCCAGGCCGATACGTGCTGCCGACGACCTCGGAGAGCTGCAACAGCGCTGACAATATAGGTATGTGTCCTGGGTTGTAAGATAAGCTTGTATTCCATTTGCCATTTGTTGAAGGAAAAACCGGTTTTTTTTTTTTTTGTTATCTCTCTCAGAGACAATGGTTTTGCCCTGTAGAGGCAAT